ACACAGAGGTTTTATCATTCCACTTGGTTGGGTAAATGGACTTTTGCCCCCGGGTTATGACCCCAATGTCTAGGAAGGTGAGTAAGTAGATTGCATTACCAGAAAGAATGCAGGGTTAGCTCAGGGTGAACACACAGAGCCCAGGGTTTGGAGAAATGACACATGCATGCGTGTGCGCACACAGACTCCATGGCTTCACCTGTCTCATCAATGTGCATGTAGTCACTATAGAGTCAGCCTCAGATGGAGGTCTTCTCTCTGGTCCTTCGCTCTCATCTCTTCCTAGCACCTCACATCCCCAGTTCCCTAATTCAGGCTCTTTCCTCTCCTCAGACTTGTAGGACCCATGCCCACTTCTCATTCCATCATGGCCACATAACACAGTTTTCCCTCTTTTCCATCTGCCAGCATTAGGCTTACAGAGCCACGCATCTACAAGACACAAACTTCCCTCTTGCTAATTTTAATGGTCTCTCAGCAAAACCACTGTCAAGCTAAGGAAGTTTCTGTCTCTTCACAACATCTTCCAAGAATTGCCTTCTAAAATTCTCCACCCTGTCAGTAAAAAGAAGGAAGGAAAGAGTGGGAGAGGGAGGGAGGGAGGGAGGAAGGAAGGAAAGAAGGAAGGAAGGAAGGAAGGAAGGAAGGAAGGAAGGAAGGAAGGAAGGAAGGAAGGGAGGGAGGGAGGGAGGGAGGGAGGGAGGGAGGAAAGGAAGGAAAAAAGGAGGAAGGGAGAGAGGGAGGGAGGGAAAGAAGGGGGGAGGCAAGTAAGGAGGACAAAGAGAGCACAAACCACCCATTTTGCTTGGCTAGTGAGCTTGCCAGTCTGTGCCCATGAGACCCTCAGGAGATGACACATGGTCAACACATGGAGAACTTCAGGCCACTAAAACACCATGGTGCATTTCCGGGCAAAGACTAGAACATTTGACAGTTATCTCCCACCCAGATGGCCAGAAATTGTTCTCCCTGCTGTTGTAGAGCTAAGCAGAAGAATGCTGACTCAGGGAGTCCAGACACCAGGATTCTAGTTCCAACTCTGCTGTAGCTGGGTTGGGGCAATTGAGTGTTCCTCTCAACTTCTCTTTTTCTTTGCTAGTGTAGTACTATTAATAATAGTAATACATAGTAATAGTAGTAGTAGCAGAGGAAGAAGGAGGAGGAAAAGACACTTTAATGTTTGTTGAGGGCTGTAAGCCTGGTGCTTTACATATATTCTCTCAGCTGCAGCCCACAAAATCATGTGAGGTGAATACTCTTGTTCTCAGCCTCTTTCACTACGCACTTGCTGACCTTCCACTCTCCAGCCTTTCCTCTCTGGGGGTGTCACTTGAGAGGTTCCCGCTGCCTGGGGCACTTCCCTCCACTCCCTGCCTCCTTTCTGCATGGCTTCCTCTCCTTCATCCTCAGGGTCGCAGCTTACATGTGACTTTCTTCAGGTGCCTAGAAGAGTTTCTCCCCCACAAAACACATAACGTAATTTGTAATGGTTTCATTTGTATATTCTTTCTGATTCTTTCTCCCCAATCCAGCATTGAGTTCCCAAGTGGGCAGGGGTTTTCTTTGTCTTTGTCTTTTCTCCTTTTTACCTTTTTGCTCCCCACCAGCTGGCACCTAGCAAATGCACTGTTAAACGTCTGCTGAATGAACCAATGAATTAGTCCTGATTTAGGAGAGTAGGAACTGAGAGGTTTGGAGAAGTTAAATAGCTTGCTCCATGTCAGATAGCTAGGAATTGGATTCAAACTCGGTTCTGTCTGACTTCCAAAACTGCTCTTCCCAACCACCTAGGGAGGAGTGGCTGGGCAGACCTCTGGGAGGGGGATCGTAAGAGCATTTTCCGAGTTCCCTCCCACTCTACGTTTTTCTTCAACACTAAGGGAATTTTGACCCACCGAAGAGCTTTCAGACCCCTCTCCCCTCTCTGTCTTGATGTATTCCAATTGCAGAACTAGGCCCCTGGCTGATATACTCTGAAGGAGTTGATTTCACTCTCCCAAATATGGAATCAACCATGCCTGTAATACGTTATTCACTCGGCAGGATCTGACTCTCCCAGAGTTGTACAGACATTATCTGTTTAATCCTCACCAAACCCATGTGAATTTGATATCAGTCACACAGTATGATTTCCCTTTAATCAGTGAAGGGCGGGGGGAAGGGAGAAACTTAACCAGAAAGCCCATAGGTGTCATAGTCAACTCAAATACAAAGCCTTATGTTTTCAGAGCTCCATAGACATTAAAAGAAAAAAATAGTGGTGTGTGTGGTTTTAATAGTCTGACACTTCCCTTGTATGCATCTAACATTTTGAATAGTTAAATACATGATTACCATTCCATCTTAAGTTCATTACGTGGTAGTATTAATCATATCTTACTGTATATAAAGCACTTTAATGGAAGATGAAAAGCCAAGGGTAGTTCCCTTATAACTATCAAGCACTGAAATTAACAGGATTTATTTTTAAGTCCCTTCAACTCTAACTTGCTACATTTTAATGTTTCAAGAAATTTTTAATGCAACTCTTTGAAGCCATTATGCTATTCTGCGACATCTTTAATATAGAAATGATAGGCTACACACACACACACACACACACACACACACACCATTGTTGTTAAGAGAAAATATTATCACATATGTTAATCACTGAGCCCAATACCTGGCCCATAGTAGGCACATGATAATGGCAAGAATGGACAATTCCTCCTAACCTTTACATGTACTAGTGTTGATTACACACTTAGGACCCTTACCCCATCGAAGTACATATATATAGCTTCCACATAAATCTCTGCATGAATTGAAAGGGGCTGCACATAAATACATATTCCATCTCATTGACCTCTCTCAGTGATTCAAGAAGAAACAGAAGATTTAAGCATCAAGCAATTAACATCACTTCCTCCTTATTCCTGTCAACAGTAAGAGCTGACCGAAAGAGAGCATTTGGTCATGAAATGTTAGCAGACGCACACCCCAGGAATAAAATCAGGTTCCCTCCAGCCTGGGTGTTCTGTGTGTAGGAGCTCCCAATTGCAGAGGGGATTAGATTAGCTTCTCAAGGCCTCCTCAAACCTTATCGGTGAGGCAAATGAGGAAGAAAAGCAGAGCAAAACAGATCAGCTTTTCTGGAGTGCTTTGGATGCTGGGTCACTGGGGCCGATGGTCATGTAGATTTAGCAAGGGAGTAAGTCTAAATTTCCTATTTTATGGCCTGGAACATCTTACCACAGAGCCCATCCACATCTATTTACAGTAACAGCATTCATTAACATCTACTGAGTACTTATCCTGTGCCGGGCTCTGTTTTAAATGCTTTCCACAGATTAACACGTATAAACATAGTCTTCTCTTACTGTATCTACTGTATCTTTTGGTCAATCAGTATTTTTAAAATACTGATTTTTAAAACTAATAACTTAAAACTGCCGTGCACAGAAAAACAATGGTTCACAAAATAGTACTTTACCTTTGAAGATTTTATCGGTAACCAATCTTACCCTGTTAAAGTTAGATGGTCAAGTGAGACCAACAGCCCTGATTCTCTTCCACCACCGAGTGAGACTGGCATGGCAGGCGCTAGGGATAATGTGCGTTTCGCCTTCCGTACTTTCTGAATAAACTTGGTGACATTGCCAGGTCCAGCAGCCTTCTTGTCCACAGCAACTTTCTATTTAATATCATCATTAGCAAAATGACTCAGAGGAGTTGTTATCAATGCCGTTTTACGTCAGGAAACCACAACATGGGGAAATTAAGCAACCTTTCCAAGGTCTCATTCCGGAGTCCATGCACTTAACCCTTACACAATAATTCTCTTTTCTACGTAACATGGGCTAGTATTCCTAATGGGACCCCAGACCACCTAAAGAAGCTGAATTCCAAAATGAAAATAAAATAAATAGTAAGGTTACAACATGAGGTAGTGTTAAGTGCCCTTAACTGACTTTCTTTGGAAATGAGCAAGAAATACTTTGGAATTTAGCCAAACTAAGCAGAGTTTAGCATTTGCTTCTCATTTTAGGCCATTTTAGGCCATCCTTACCCTCCAAGAGATATCTTTTTTCTTGAAGACTTCCTGCTTTCCTGCTCTCAGTGTTTAATACCTACTTCCCACAAGTCCATTTCTACACCAAGATGGACTATGACATTAATTGGTCACTAGTAGAACCTTTTAATAGTGGTCACAGAGTTTTAACAACCAAGGAGACTTTGAAGTTGACATACACTGAGAGCTTGTGCTCTGAAATAGCACCTGTTAGATATTCATCTACTCTCCCTCAGCCCATTAGGTCTTAAATTCTAAGGTGCCTGGGTGGCTCAGTTGTTTGATCATCTGACTTCAGTTCAGGTCATGATCTCACAGTCCGTGGGTTTGAGCCTGGCGTCTGGCTCTGTGCTGACAGTTCAGACCCTGGAGTCTGCTTCAGATTCTATGACTCCCTGTCTCTGCCCCTCCCCTGCTCATACTCTGTCTCTCTCAAAAATAAATAAACATTAACAAAAAAAGAAATTCTGACTATGGCTTTAAAAAAAAACTATATTACTCCAAAAGATAAAACATGTTTATTGCAGAAAATACAGGTAAATGAAATAAAGAAAGCAAGGAGACATTTTGAATTCTTCCCACCTGGAGATATCTGTCAGTAATTCCTTAGTGTGTAACTTTCTAGATCCTTTGATGCATGATTACATCTCTACTTTCTGAGGCAGGACAACTCTTTACACAGTCAAACACAGATATTTTCTCCTCATGTTCAGTTTTTGTCCAAGCAAAGTTATCCCAGTTTGCCAGACTACTTTTTCAGACACCACCTCCACGGTCCCCATCCTCCTCCTGGCTTTCATCTTCCAGCCTGAACCAAAGACAATGCCACATTTCAGAAAAATGCAGACACTCTTTCAATCCAGACACCAACCTCTGATTGATGTATTTCATTGGATTAGCATCATTCCAATGACTCCCTTCTCTCTTGCTTTTTTGTTCCCCACAGCTTTTTGCGATCTTTGCGTTTGCAACATGCGGTGGCTATTCCGGAGGCCTGCGGCTGAGTGTGGACTGTGTCAACAAGACGGAAAGTAACCTCAGCATTGACATAGCATTTGCCTACCCATTCAGGTATGGAATGGCGGTTTGTGCTCACAGAGAAGGCACCTTCTTTCTGCGGTTTCTCAAAAAATAATGCAGTTTTTTAAAGAGACTTAGAAGTAAACAGAGAGGATTCTGTCTGAACCCACAAAACACCCAAACAAGTAAAATGCCCACCTACCACCCCACCCTGGGAAGATTTGTGAATCCCACTTTCAAACCAGAATTGACTGTTCTCCAAAACATTGATACTATTGGCCCAGGATTGGGGGCTGTCAGTAGGGAGACCTCAGAAACACAATTCCTTCCTCCCCATTCATATTTCCAATCTTAAGTTCTTCCAAATTCTGTCTAGAATTAGTGTCACCTCTAATTTTATGTTGACTATGCAATTTTGGTTGATAATGTATTTAAATAATATTAATATCTAATATCACTTCTGTGTGCTAGACACTGTACTTAGCCATTTACTTGGTTAATCTCGTTCAGTCCTTTTGAGGGGAATGCAGTTACCATCGGCATTTACAAATGAGGAAAATGAGGCACAAATACGTTTGCCTGTATTCCTCAGCCAGTAAGTGGCAGTCAAGATTGAGCCTCCCTTGGTTGAGCCCAGATCTCATATTTCTATTGCTGTACTTATATTGCTTGAGATAATTCTTTCAGTGTCTTTATAAATTCAGTCTGAAAGATACCTTATATTTGTCATCACTAGTTATCTACCAGGGTTTTTTCCATACTGGACATCTTGTGATTCTGACCCACATACCCAAGTGGATTAACTGAATTCAATTTTAAAATAATTTATTTCTGTAAAACTCCCAAATACTTGGCACCAAATAACTGGTATTATTTTTTAAAACAACTTTCAGCTCAATGTGTCAGAACACTCTCTTGTTCATTTCTATTTATCAAACATGTATTGAGTAATTGCTTTGTGCCAGACATGGTTCTGGCTGTGGAGAAAAGTAGAACTTGACCCTTGAAAACTTTTCTTAAATAGGAGAGCACAGTGTTTTCCAAAATCTTTCCCACAGAGCCCTATATATTTAATGTTTAATGAAGAAAAGAAGGAGGGAGAGAAAGGGTGAGGAATAATTTAAACTTTATATGGTCAAATAAATTTAAGACATACTTCTGAGCACTCTGCTTTTCTAATGCACATTTTGAATCACCAAGAGATATACACTGTTTCCCAAAGATGTTTGACCGCAGACACCTTTTCTCACTGAGCATCTCAGAGGATCTGTATATCATGGAACACATCCTTGTTATATTGATTTAGTGAACTTTCCCTAGCCTAAGAACAAAAGTGCCTCAGCTTATAGGCAATGAATCATGGGAAGCAGCATTTATACCAACATACTGAATGGTTTTTAAAAGTAGAACTGATAAATGTTGCAAACACCTCTGCTCAAGTAGATACTCTCCAAACTAATAAGAGGGTGCAAAACTCCAAAGTATTAAGCATAGAACCCCTGGTAATTTGGTAAAAAGAGTTACGGGTGTGGGTAGAAATGAGGCTGAGGTGCGAGAGTACTTGACACTTGTAAGTTCTGGTAGAACTCCTTGGCTTTAATGGGGAAAAGCTAAGCCAATGCACACTCACTGATCAGTATGTGGGATCTAGGATAAGAGATAAGAATGGCTGGTTCTAGGACAGAAGATAAGAGCTACTAATGGCTACGATCTAGCATAAGACATAAGAAATGTCAATGGCTGGACAGGAGGGGTAGGATGCATGGTAACATCAGTCATGAAACTGTAAGGTCTACATTCTCTTCTACAATGATTTTGTACCAAACAATGTGGTAGGAACAGATGACTTGAAGATCAGTTGCTTAAGATTTGAAGAGCAATGGGTCACTAACCATTGAACACAGGTCTCTCTATCTCTCAAGCTAGAAGAGAGTAATCAAGAGACCTGTTTAGACTGGAAAACAGTGCCTGGCTGTTTTGGGCTCAGGAGGGTGGAGAGCAGGGTCTTATTTAATTTCATGCAATCCTTGGCTAAGTGCCCAATTTGAAAAGACACTTTAAGCAAACAGTTTCCAGTATTGCGCTTAATTTTCTTCCCAAGGCATATTACCCTTGCCCAATAAAAGGCAGCTGAAGAAATTAGGTAAAAATGTTTATTGCCATCTATGAGTACAGTGGGCCACTTATTTGAAATATTTTTTACTTGGGTTCTGAAATGAAGATGATCAACCATTATTTTTTCAGTAGCAGAAACTTTTCTTCCAAACACTACCTTGCTCAGAAGCTCCGTATATAAGACAGAGAGAAGTCCCTACACATACCATTCCAGAAAGGCTCTATTTTACTAGTGTTGCAAGTTCATTTGTACATTTGGATACTTTAAAATGTTATGCCATTATCTTCTTGGGGAAGATGTCAATTGTGAGCGAACACATCTAGAATGTATACAGATTATTTTGACATCATTTGTTTCAAAAGCAGTTGGGTTAGCAAGATGCTAATGATATAAATCATTTAAAAAGTTATTTTTTCCTAAAACTTTACAAGCCAATGCCAATGGTTTGACTACAATCTTAGACATAAAAGAAGAGCCTTCAGCAGCTTCTAACTATTCAGTTTCTTGCAAAAACAAGGCAGACAATAAACTCTAATGCCAAGTCTGTAAATGACAGAGCAAGAAAAGCTATTTAACTTACTTATCAGACTATCAGCTGTGGGATAAAGTCAGTTTAGAAAATGCTAGATGAGGTGCGCCTGGGTGGCTTAGTCGGTTAAGCGACCGACTTTCGCTTAGGTCATGATCTCGCGGTTCGTGGGTTCGAGCCCCGCGTCGGGCTCTGTGCTGACTGCCAGCTCGGAGCCTGGAGCCTGTTTCAGTCTGTGACTCCCTCTCTCTCTGACCCTCCCCTGCTCATGCTGTCTCTCTCTCTCTCCTAGAAATAAATAAAACATTAAAAAAAAAAAAAAAGAAAACGCTAGATGGGGTGCCTGGGGGGCTCAGTCAGTTAAGCATCCAACTCTTGATTTTGGTTCAGGGCATGATCTCACAGTTTGTGATAATTTACAAAATATTCATTTGCTGCTTGCTTCTGATAAATATGCCAGAGTATGTAACTCCTTTATGCCACCACAGGTACATATCTTTGACTCACATCAGAAGGAATTTACATTCAGCAATGTATCATTTTACTATGGGAATAAAGTATTAATCCTCCTACCTTCCTTTTGATTCATGATTAAAATGAGCAAGTAATATTTAGCATTTTTCTCATCTACTATATGTGCTAATTTGGTAAAACAAATATTTGATAATGGGAGGGTCTGGAATTAAAATTTCTTGCACTTTCTTTATACACAGAAGTGTGTAGAGTTTTTTATTATAAGGAATTTAATATATTTGCAGAAAGTGTAGCCAAAGAATGCCAGTCAACACTCTGCATGGATACATGAGGCATGTATAATGAAAGATAAAGGAGTCTAGAGAGTTTGGGGGCTATGGGAGCAAAGGTTTTCATGGCAAAGTTTAGTTCTGATGGGTCCTAGTGATGAATGAATAAATATGCAAATACTCATCGCAAGCCTATAACATACCAAACATTGCTAGCCACCTCCATGTATATCCTGTAAGCATTACACCAAGCCAGTGAAGGAGGTTACCATTACTCTGCTTCAGAAGACTGTGTGGAGAGAAATTTGGTCAACATCACATAGAAAATCAATTGCAAATTTTTGGATTTCCTATGTTCTACTAATCTGAATAAAAACTGAAGATAACAACATTCAGACTGTTGGAAGTGTGGTGAGTAGAGCAAAAAATATGATAGAGAAAAGTGATAGAAATGGAAAGGTGGTTTGGGGCAAGATTTTAGAAGACCTTGAGTTTCTAAAGAATTGAATTCGGGAGAAGGAGTTAAAGATGATAAAAAGAGAATAATAAGGAAAACGATTTTGAAGCAGAGAATATAGATTTGAATTTGATCATGCAGCTTGAGGTGTTTTCTATCAGGAAGTTTTGCGCTAAAGAAAAGAGAGGGGTAGTCTGATTGGAGTTCTGAAGAGTCATCTTCATGCATTGCAACGAAAGTCCTGGAAGAAGGGAGGTCACCAAGAGAGATGGAAGAACAGGTGCACAGGGCTCAGCCGTGGGGGATGCCCACACTTATAACAAATGAGGAAGGAGAGGAATGCCTGAGGAAACCAAGAAGAGCCAAGTGCAGAAGAGGTGGGTCAACTAGCAAAGTGTGGGCTTCACAGAGGGTAAGAAAATGTCATGTGTGCTATGAGACAGCACAAGGAGAACCACTGAGTACTTCAGAGAAGTAAAGGAATGTAAACTATGAAAAGGCCGGTAGGTATAACTAATGGTGGTTATTAAGGATTTTTCAGTAGGAAAGAAAGCATACAAGGCTGTTAGAGCACGGGAAATAAAATTTGCTATTTTTTCTGTCAGACAAGAAAAGTGAAAAATTCTAAGGATTCTAACCATCTTACCTTAAGCCTGCATGAGATGATGTTCATGGAGAAAGAGACCAAGTTGGTTAATCACCTTCTCACAGAGAAGGTGTGTACCTCCTGCTTCTTGAAAGCAATTAGTTCATTTGATGATATGGTGACAAACTTCCCACTTTGCCTAAATAATAATAAAGTTTCCAGTGTGTAGGAATCATTTGAGAACAACTGAATATAAAGAATAGAAGATTTATGACAAATCAATTATTATGTCACTTACATGTTTTGAGACCCCCACAGAAAAATTTAAAATATTAAGTTTGCTGTCAATTTCAAATATTCTTGTAGATTGGGAGAGTATTAATCACTGCTTTAGATAATTAACATGATTGCCACTGATTAAATTATCCTAAAGAAATAACCAGAGATATAGAGAAGGAAGTAGGTACAAAGGTATTCATTGTTGAATTATTTTAAGTTCTTCAAAATTAGAAATAACTTATATGTCTAATGGTAGGGAATAAGTGAAGTAAATTGTGGGGCATCCCTGAAACGAAAGGCTAGGAAGTCATTAAAAGTCATTTTCTCAAATAACGTATTAA